TTACTAAATGTAGTGTTTTATTCTGTGTACTCCGTTTGATGAATGATTAATCAAATTCCTCGTCATTATAATTCGCTTCCGATAAAGAAGAAAGTGATACAGAGGTATTGAAAAGGAAAAACTTTCGATTGATAATATAGCAATTATAGGACTTTTAACAGCGAATTTTGTACATGAAGAAGAAATTAGAAATTAGTTTATAGAAGTAGAATTAAAAATAAAAATATATCACAGAAAAGAAGCAACTTAAAAACTTACACTGAAAGAAAATGTTTAAAAAGTAAAACAAATAAATATTAAGCTTTTTTTTTTTTTTTTTTGTAAATTTTGACTCTTTAGATCATAATGTTCTGTATTCATTAAATTACGGTTTCATATTTTCAATTTTATAATTTTGCATGCCATCTTACCAGATTTAAATGATGATCTATAACCGGAAAAATCGAATCGGAATTGCGAAGTCCGACGAGTAGGATTAAAGACTTTTGAATGTATATGTTTTTTTTTTTTTTTTTTTAAGGAACTTCTTCTTGACAGATCATATAATTTTTGAAAATGGATTTATTTACGATGAATTATATATCAGATTGCCAAAATAACATTTTTTATAACTGGTTGTTTACTGTGTTATTAAAAGTATTATGTCGATGATTAAGCCCTTATTTCAAGTTTGTGTTCAAATGTAAATAAACTGGCAGGACAGATAAGATCATCACTAGTATACAGTAGTGTGCTTAAATTCATAAAAATTCAGGTTTTCATACAAATGTAAAAAGCATGAGTTTCATTGTCTTTACACTAAGAATGACTTGTTTTCACCTGTTCCCAAAGCAGTTGTGTTGTAGACATGCTATTAATTACTGCTCGTAGGTGATAAGAAATTTACTTGTCTACCATTTATTTTGGAACGATACATTTTCACAAAACATAAATCTACTCTGTATGTTCACATTGGTATAAGCATAAAATAGTACACTCATTGTTCAAAAGCAGATTATTATATAATTTTTAAATGATTAATGATACACAAACTTAGATACAATGTCTTTTACTAACCTCATGCTGTTTTTGAGATAAAATGGTTTTAACTAATTATTTATTATGTTATGATCATTCTGACTTTTTCTGTTTATACAATTTTCATAAATTATTACAGCATATTAACCATTATTGTACTCATTGGTCTTCATATTCAAAATATAATTTCCCCAGTCATAATGACCATCTACTTCAGATGACTAGTTCTAAAAGTGATCAGTATTTCTGAGAACATATATATAAATACCACTAGCAAGTTTCATCTCTCAAGCACTATCATTACCACTGTCTATACATGTTCATTTGGAGGCGATTATACTTTTCTTTGTATGTAGGCTCTTTCAGTATTTCAGTAAAAACTTCACACCACACGCTAGCCACATGGGTATTTTTCATGGTTTAGCCCAGGAGTAGGAACCTTGTAGCTGTAGTGTGCCAAACCAGTTTACTAATATAATTCATGATGCCGTACAGTAGGAAATATTTAAAACAATTTGATTCACGCAGCAATACATGCAGAGTTAGGGAACAGAAGGCGAGAATAAAGATTTAGAGTTTTATTATGTATTATTTTAACAAAAGTGTTCATTAGAAAAATTAAGCACTGTGATGAAATTCTGGCAACTAAACTTTCCTGACAGTGCAGAGAGTAAATACAGGAAGATTTATCTTTGTCTGATAACTTTCTTAAGAGTGGTGTAGAGTGCCACTGAGAACTGTACTGTGTGCCATAAGTTGCCGATGCCTGGTTTAGCACGCATGTTATGTGAATACAAGACAGTTTTCTGTAGAAAGTCCTCTAAAGAGGCATATTCTTTTGTTAGCCATCATGTGCCTAACAAACACATGATGTCATGTATATGACACGTAAATAATATATATAACCAAAGATTCATCTGTTTGTCTAAATCTTAACATATTTCTAAATATAAGGAGAAAGAAATCCTTAAAGTCATAAATTCAAGTTAAAATTTTATTAAATTTTTTTTGAAAAATAAGAGCCCTCACTAAAAAATACTTTTAACTCGGTTATCAAGTTCACTTTTTGGTCCTCTGTTTTACAAATTGTATTCAATGATTAAATGCATAATTTATCTTTAATATTTTTATATCCATTTTTTTCCATGTTCAACTGAAGATTAATAGTTATTCCTATTAATAATAAAATAATCATAGTATGACTAAAACAATTTGATACCCTGTTTTATGCATATAATGACATTGTTTTTATTGCATTAATAATGTAACTAATTGCAGAATTTGTAACAACAGAATAACTAACAAATCAAACAGGAAATTTTTCTTAAAAATTCACTTTTGAGTATTTCATTAATATTCATATTAAAAAACTCTCTTTTCGGGGAATATGAAACATAGGTAGCAATGAAGTTTACTTTTTATGTGACTTTGAAGCATTTTCTAAATGTTGAATTAACAGGTCAAATGTAATGAATAGCCACTGAGCTTAACTCAATGGAGAACTGATATGTTAATTATTTTAAATGAACTTCTGTTGTTCCGTTTCTGCGTTAAAGATTGCCATGCCAGAAAACATGAAAATGTCTCACCTTTATTAAAATTAAATTATTTTACACCACCAGTTAGTTGTAAAGCATGTTGGAAGCAAGGACTATGCAAGCATCATGGACACTTAACAGAATGCTAGATATACCCAGAAATTATTTAAAATTATTTTTACTTGTTGCTAATACCATATCAAAGAGTGACATTGTGTTTTCTATCAATGACATGAAAATGTTTTTGCTTCTACAAATTAAAAGCTTTTAGAATTGTTTCCCCTTTTACAAAAGTAAAATAATTTGTAAAATGAAACAATTTTTTTTTTTTTTTTTTTTTTTTTTTTTTTTGCAGAACAATCACTAATGATATTTGGAATGAGGAGATGGAAGAAAATATGGAGCCAAGCCTCAATAGTTCTGTACATGACTCAGAATTCGACTTGAGTGCCACTGTTCCTTCTGATGACGAAAGAGGTGTAACCGATTTAGAAAGTTGTCAATAATGACAGACAGGACAGAGGCAATGACAGAAAGGGTCGATTTTAGCAGAGAAGCTGCTATGACAGGCTCCAAAACATCTGCATTAAAGAATGGCGATTCAGCATCCAATGTCTGCACTAAAAAGAGGAAAAAAGATGCAACAGATGAAATTCTGGATTTCATGAGAAGTACTACCTCTGTATTGACGGAAAAAGATGATGATGATCCCGACAGAAATTTCTTACTGAGTATGCTACCGGATTTTAAAGAATTAAGCAAAGAGGCAAAATACAAAGCCAAAATGGGTTTTCTGAGCTTATTGCATGAGTTGGGAAAATAATAAAATAGCTTCAACTCTTCCATGCTCATTGACTTCATTTTTTTATTTGCTACACATAATATATTACTTGCGAAGAAAAAATGTCTTTTTATTTTTTATTATAGAATATTACTAGTATGCAATAAAATATATGAAATTAGCTTAAATAATACATAATTTACATACAAAAAGAAACATAAAGAAAGCAGAAAAACTAAATAAATTTATTTTGCCAGGGAACAGCTCCTTCTTCATTAAAATAATGCATGAATCTTTCTCGAATGGCAGCTGCACATTCGGTAGCATTATTGGCACCTTGTCTACCAACTGATGGTAAATGGCTCTCGTCTTGCCTCCACATGCCTTCTTGAACAGATCCATCTTCAAACATAGAATCTGCGTATCCAAATGGACAGTAGCTCTTTGCAGCCTTACCCATTTCATTTCTCATCAGAAAATTATGTAAGCAGCAGCAAGCAAACACAATTCTATCTGCTCTGTCTGGCTGAACGTTGAGAGTGTTTCGAAGTACTCTCCATCGAGCCGTCAAAATTCCAAATGCATTTTCGATGCACCTCCTTGCCCTTGCCAGACGATAATTGAATATTCTTTTATTCCGAGGAAGGAGTTTCCCTGGGAATGGCCGCAACATATTTGTTTTTAAAGGAAATGCTTCATCTGCAATAAAAACAAATGGCAAAACCTTGTTACTTTCAGGAAGCAATGCTGGCTCAGGTAAAAATTTTGAGTTTTGTAACTTTTGACCTAGCGAAGAATTGGCAAAAACTCCACCATCACTAATTCGCCCAAAATTTCCAATGTCCACATACAAAAATCTATAATGAGCATCAGATGCTGCCATTAAGACAATGCTGTGGAATCCTTTATAATTGATATAGGACGATCCTGCATTTGGTGGGGCTTGTATAGCAATGTGTTTACCTATAATGAAAGGGAAAAAAACACTATCAATAAAAACATATTTTATAAGATTTCATCATTCATGAATCTTTGTGAATATGTAATAAAGATATGATAAATTACAATCACAATTATTTTCTATTAAGAAGAAAATTTCAATGCTGAGAAAAAGATTATTTTGTTCATATATCAAATTTCATTAAAAACATAACACTACATTTTGTCATTTATGGTGTTTAACTAGAATACTAAATATCATTATTTGTAATGTCATAGATGTAATTATATATTCAATAGCATTTAATTAAATAATGAACTGCCAGGGTCAATACTTTATTTCAAAAATAAAAGGTATGCCACTAACCATCAACTGCACCAACACAGTTAGGAAAATTCCACTTGTATGAAAAACCATCTGAAACTTCAGTCCAATGGTTTCGTGAACGTATTTCAGGCAAACACAATGGGCCTAAAGTCTGACAAATTGCTTCACAGGTCTCGTGTATAATATTGCATACTGTCGATTTGCCAATTCTAAAGCTAAAGGAAAGATCTGAATATGTTCCACCAGTAGCTAAAAACCTTATAAAAAAAATAATACATATTTATTCTGAAATAAAATATCTGAAAAATAGAACTGGTTTGCCATTGTACACATGAAAAAAGAAGAATCTGATATATTTGTTAAACAATTTGTTAAAAATATTTGTTAAACATAAGCTTGTTTTGGTAATTTTAGTTCATCAACTGTTTGTTTGAATATTTATGCGAGTCTATTTTCAGAACTTTTATTTATTTACTTTTTTTTACTCAAAATGTGTTTTAAATAACTTTTTTCAAAACAAGCAGGTTTTTTTTTTTTTTTTTTTTTTAAAAAAAGGACCAATAGTATATATGATAGAAAAGTAAACTCATTTTGCTTATATTTAGTAATAGATAAATGCAACTATAACTGGAAAACACAACTTTCCAAAAACAAATATCAGCTATCGTATATTAGCACAAGATGTACCTGATATTTCATAAGCATATTATTATAGCAAATAGAAGGGTAAAAGTATATTTACGGGTAAACATTGGTAATTTTTGGCGGTACATGCATACTGAGTTTTCGCAATTCTTTGACTTGTTATTTTGGCTTTGTGTACCTAAAATCGCCGCTACGCAAAGCCAAAATAACAAGTCAAAGAATTGCACAAACTCGGTATCCATCTAACCTACACATACCTTTCATACATACCTCCCTCATGTTACATACATCTATTTATTTTACCTTACAAAAGTAAAGAAACATAATGTATACACTACAAAGTCCGTAATCCAAACTTGTTCGGAACATTGGCGATTCCGGATTATAGATCATCAATTTAAATCAGGTAAGATGGCATGCAGAAATCATACAATTAAAAATATGAAACTGTAATTTATGAAATAAAGAGCAATTATGATCTAAAGGGTATCAAAATTTACAAAAAAAAACTTAATATTTATTTGTTTACTTTATTAAACATTCATCATTTTGTCATATCGTCACTTTTATCATAACAAACCCTTTTTCTGTTAGTCATTGCAAGTGGGGTGTTGGAATTCACAAAATATTCAAAAAGTTCCTTTTTCTTTTTGCTTATGTCATATACAGTTGACTTTCCAATGTCATACTCTTCGCATAATTTTGAGACAGGTATGCATATAATTTTGAGACTTTATCCATTTTTTGCAGCAATTCCAATTTTTGTTTGATGGACATCGAAATATGCTTTCGCTTTGTAGATCCTTTGGCAGCTCCTAAATTTGAAACTCTTTTTGACATAATCAAATGTTCAAACTTACTTTTTATAAAATTGCTCTAACAGTCTGCAAAAAATAATAAGCCGGATCCAATTAGAAGATTAAGGAACAGCGCGATCTGCAACATTAACTGAAATGCCTTAGATAATTTTAGCCTAGCTTATTGTAAACACATTGTACGTTTACGCATGCGCATAAAATTTGTAGCTTTGAGGTCCGGATTATGGACCTGCGGATTAGAGACTTTGCACTGTATATGCAGAGGCGTAGCTAGAGTTTCCAGCACCCGGGGGCAACTGATGAATTTGCGCCCCTTTCTGTGTGCCAATAATGGAAAACATTTCATTAAAAAATTTCGTAGCATCAATTTGACGCCCCTTTGATGCCGCGCCCGGGGACAGATGCCCCCCTTGCCACACCCTAGTTATGCCACTGTATATATGTATACACATGGAAAATATGTGTGTGTATGTATGTACATATACTCACACACATTTTCTTTTACATAATTAATGGAAACTACAGAGGTTATTGAATTTATGAGTCTTTACTTACCTCAAACAAGGTGCCAGCCTTTCTGATGGAGAAATTGGCTTTCTTAAACGAGTCGTCTTCTTTTCAATTTTTTTTTCCAATCAGGGAAAGCAGCTGATCAAACTGATTGCCCTATTATTTAAATATAAATTTAAAAAAGTTTTTTTAATTAAAGCTTAAACATCTGTGTATTTCATTAATTTAAATTTGTTTTATTCCAATAATATTATATACATGCATTTTTCATGAGATTAAAAAAAGGTCACTGAAATGCAATGAACATAACATTTCTGTAAGGTTAACTAAAACTCATTGAATATTTAAGCTACTATTCTAGAAAGGGGAGGAAGCTTGTACAAAAGATAAAGAATAAAAATTTACATATTATTATGATGGCAGTGTGTGTACTTGGAATGTTTTGATCATACCTTAATAAAGAACTGCTAGGCCTTTTTAATGCCATAAAATGCTTATTAAAATTATATTCAGTATTACTTCAAGCAAGTTATTACAAAGTCTACTTATGCACACAATTACTAACCTTCGGACACCTCAGTATGGGTTAGAGCTGAATAAAAAGGGAAAATAAAGACGTATAGAATTATTAGTGTTATTCTGATCTGCACGGCTTATTTTAATTTTGCTACTACTACTATTTATCTATCATACATTCATTAATATACAATGTGCATGTGAGAGGAAAAAAAAAAAAAAAAAAACTTTTAACATATATATTTGTTAATATATATTTCCATACATTTTTCCTAAAATAGTTAGGGTAGTTAACTCATTTTTTTATAATTGATATCCCATCACTAGCAGTGACAATAATAATTTGAAATATGAGAAAAATCAAGGCAACCTTATTTATTGAAATCAAGATAAATTTTCTGCTTGAAGTGAATGAAAAAATACTAAACTTACATTTACAATTTGGGTTAGTCTATATTTTAGGGTGTCCCTTGGATTATCACCAAGTTGTTGTTTAATTTATTGCCAAATTGTTGTTTCATTTATAGTAACCTGAGTAACTGAATGTTATAGAAACCCTATTAAGACATGAGTGGTTGGTGGTTGCATCATTGAGGTGAATTTGACTGATGGGGGAAAATATTTGTAAGGGCTTATTTCTGCGTTAGATGTCGATTAGTTCTTTGTTCCATTTGAGTGCCGCAATTATCGTGCAAAAAAAAAAAAAAAAAAAAAAAAAAAAACACGATGTGTCTAAGTACATTGCGTATTTTGTGATTTGCATGGTAAAATGGCTGACAGTAGTAAACTGGGTGTTTCGTGACATGGTACACGAGCATAGAAGGTGTTTTTTTTTAAGTGGTTGAGAACAGAAGAAATTAAATTTTGTTGGATGTAATTCAACGGAATATTTTACCTGAACAATGATCATATCCAACTGCTGGAAGTCGTACGATTGTCTTTTTGATAAATGGCTTCGTTCACATCTCAGTAAATCACACAGTGACATTTAAGGATTCAGAAACTGGAGCTCATCTCAAAACCATCAAAGATATGTGGAATATAATAAAAAGGGATTTTCGGAAGAAATACCACCTACAGTCTGGCACTACGTAGGATATTTTTTATTCTTATTTTTGTGAATTTATGTGGTGACAGCAGTATGCATATTCTAGTTCAGATAACTTTAGAAAGTTTTTGGATGCTGTTAAGGAATTTTGTGTACCACAGATTGGAGACACAGAAATTTCTAAATAAGGTAAGTCGATATTTCCTTTTAAAGTTATTTTTCACCTTGTGATTTAAAATGCAGTTTACGGAGCTTTAATTGGCTACAAATTTTGTTCAATTTTGGCAATGAATAACTTTGTTTAAAATTATATGACGTCATCATTCTCCTGATTTTTTTAAAGTAAAACCAGATTGATGTGTACATGGACAAAGTCAAGGCTGTGCGCAATGCCAAGATTCTGCAATTCTCTGATGTTTTTCTAAGTGAAAATATATCGATGTGTACATGGACACAGAGTTTGTGCAATTCTTAGCAATCTTCAATTAGCAAATAAGCTAAGCATTTTCATTTTACATTGCAAATCATACTTTCATTTTACATTGCAAATCATACTTTCATTTTACATTGCAAATCATACATAAAAGGAAATGACAAATAACTAATCATCCTTCACATAAGCATTCTTTTCTTTATGCATTTTAAAATTCTCAATGTTTAAGAAAAATGCAGAAATTGCAATTTTCAATTTATTTTTTTTTTGCAAGAAGCAGAAATGTAATCTCCTTCATTGATTTGATGATGCTTTTGATTTTGATTTTGATGTTTAGCAGGCTCTTACAAAAACATGATGAGCATGGATTACAACAAAACTGTACATGTTAAAATTTGAAACTTTGAGGGAAATGCTACTATAACCATAACTATATTATTGTTATATGCAATGAAAATTGTACTTACCGACATACCTCGTAAAATTGAAGAATAAGTCCTGATAATTCTCTCGTAGATGAGGTAGTAGCAAAGCAGAATGATATCCATGAATTGCTTGCTCTGCTGCCTGTAAATGGATTTCACCTACTCACTTCGTGGCTTTTTGACTAAAGTCTATACAAGTACATATGCTGCAAGAAGAAAACTCTGCAGCAACAAAATACATTTTCGTTGTTTTCGGCTCACCACACGTTTCGATCGAACCATTTAAAAAAAAAAAAAGTCGCTCTATCGCTCGAAGATTAACAGTGGAAGACTGTCTGCTACGAAACGTAAACAAATGAAAGCGTGCGCGAACTCCTACTCGCTTATTGGCTGTTGCTAGTGGACGCTTCTAGTAAGTGTGAACGAGCTAGGTTAGGTAGAGCCGTGTTTCATGCACCGGTTAGCTCCGATAGCGTCGTTGAGTGTCAAGTGTGAATGGGCCTTGACAGTCCCGTTTATAGTACTGATATTGTTTACCATGAAACACTTTTCTATATTACCACATTACTCACAAAAGTCTAAACAAAACATTTGACTGTGGCCAAATTTTCTCTTGTCATGAAAGCATGCAACGTGAAGCATTCATGGCTGTTACCTTTGTTCCCACTCTATAACTATCTCCAGTGTAAATGCATTTTTAAAAAAAATAATCAAGTTCTAGAGTTTGAGATCTTACTTTCTCTACCTCCACTAATTTATGTTACTTGGGTTTATTTAATTGGTATTTTACTTGGGTTCATTTAACTATAAATAATTACAAAGACACAAATACAAGATAACAGTTTAAGAATCAAGCAATTAAAAAAACAAAACTTCACAAATGTATAATCACTGTGAAGTTTTAAATCAAAAAGAATTTCTCTGTGCTGTGCAAAATGTTTGAAAATGATGAGGAAATCCAGGAATGGAGGGACTAGTGTCCTGTTATTGACAGCACAGCATTTACAAATCCTAGAAGACTACAGAAGTAGACAACAGCAGCTGCTTCATATGGCATGCAGTCAACATTTATTTGTCTGCATCACATTTGATAATGTAAAATGTCAATAATAACACACTCATTAGAATAGACTACTTATGCATGGATTGCCTATGCTGATGCTTCAAACAGTTAAATTAATTGGTTAAATGACAATTATGAGAACTTGATCACCATTTGCTCTGCTAGCAAATTTTGTTTCAGGAATGGATGGTTTTACTTACATCTATTAACAGGTGCTGTGGTCTTGAATTATCACTCTACTATCCTTGCTTTGCATCTTCCACCATTTCATCTTGCACTGTGTACCAGAAAATCAAATACTAAAAATTTTGCCATCTTTATAAAATTAAAATAAAATAGTATTAATTTACCTCTCCTCAAATTTGGCCATTTTGGCCTAAATTCGGCGAGGACGGCCAAATCTGAGAAGAGAAAAATGCTCCTCCTATGGACCTAAATCTGGTTCTATGTATACGGGATGGCCTGTAAGTACCATACCACTATTTTAATCATCATACCTTTTAGCAGTAGTGCATTTTTGGTCATGTTTCATTTGCCAACAAGATGATTTGAATGAACATGATACAGATTGCCACCTGCAGTTTTCTGAAAAGTGCCAATCAAGTTGAAAGAGGACCCAACAAATACAAGTGTGGTAGTCAAGTAAAATGATAAAAGTCCCGATCTGCTCTCCTGACTTTATGCCATCAGATGTTTTTCTGTGTAAATATTTAAAGAATAAAATGTATTCCCATACAGCACCCTACAGGATCTGAAGGAGGTGATTACTGAGGAATTTATTGCTATTTATTATGAGATGTGCACAAAATTGTATGAAAAAATGTCTGTGATTACAAGCCTGTATTGATGCTGATGGCAAGCAAAATGATCACACAACAGAAAACCGATATTAAAGAGTGTTTGTATTTTAAAATAAGCCACAGCTAATATTCATGCTGATGCCACTAGAAGTTACAAGGCTTAAAATATAATCTTTTACTTCGTGGTCACCATATATATAATTATAGTATCAAACACTGAACAGACTTTTAAATTCTTTCTCTCGTAAACATACAAGAAAGGTGAAATTATATCTAATTCTAAAAAAAGAATTTTTCACGTTAAGTACCAAACAAAATAAGAATAGTACTTTTTAAAATATAACACAATCCTGATTAAAACTAGCTGCTAAAGGAATAGATACTAGATCTAAAAAGTATACAAAATAGCAACAACAGATTGTGACTCGAATTAATAAAATACATAAGTATACAGAGAGGTAGAAAAAGGTCTCTAGAAGCTTTATTTCCTTAACTATTGATCCCAGACAAAAATTTTCAATTACAAGTTATTCCTCAAAATAAGGTGAACTCTGCAGAAACAAATTTGTAAATGCAAAACTGAACATTTTATATGAGCCCCCATCAAAGAAAATAAGCAGTTATGTACTAAAATATTTATTATGCTTTCAAACCCTACAAAAGATTCTGCACCTATACATTCAGATAGCTATAGCAGAGATACATTATGCAGGTTTTAAGGATCCTCTCTTACAATACTAAGAACCAATGCCTCTTTAACTAACATGGAACCAATAATGCCAAAATGAGGAATTTTTTGTTTGTAATTTCTCTGTAAATCTAACCAGAATTGTTAAGAAAGTGCATTGGAAAGTGATGCAACATGGGAAGCTTTCAGACTTCTCGATGACAATTGCCATGAAACGTTCATGTGTGATCAAGCATATAAAGAAAATAACAGGCACAGAATGCAGTCGGCGAAAACGAGATGTATATAGCAGTACGTGAATACACAGCATTTGCAGCCACAGATTGGTAATGTAATTTATCTGTGAGAGGTCTTACTGGCAGGTGACATATGTGAAATAATACAGTGATTTTTGCTTGAGTACTGTGACACAAATCAGGGGCATTTTCAACCATTAACAAGGCTAATAGGTAGCATTTTGAGGTATTTAATATGCTGTACGAGTGCTAAATGGCTTATAATCCTCTGTTGTGCAAATATTAGTGAAAGGTACCCCAAACATAGCATTATTTTAATGTACACTAACAAGCATTTTTTCGTAGTGGAGTTGCTTATCAAAATCATCAAAGTTTCAGAGGCAGTGCTATAATGGAATGAAAAAAATTTTTAAATTTGTCAGCATGTATACATCAAATTCCAAAAGGTATGTAGTTTACTACAGAATGCCTCAACTCTCATACATATGTACATTACTGTGCCAATATATGGCTACAAATGTTTTCATCTTCACACATGTCACTTTATATGCCTTGTTCTGGAGGTTGCATTGTAATTGCAAAATGCCATTTTCTTTGTTTGAACACCCTCCAAAGTTTTATGGTGACTGTCATTAAGAAGTTCCATTGTTTCATTGAAGATTTCTTCAAAATTTTATTTAAATTTCACAGCATTTTGCATTTAATTTGGTACAGCATTATGAACATTTTATTTTTTGGATTTTTTTTTGCTTTGCAGGGTTAAAAAAAATTAGATTTTGCATTTAAAGAATCCTTTTATCTCCAGTCATTGAATTGCTTTTACAATGTCTTTACCTTATTTTGATAAACTTCGTAACTGAAAGTACAAGTCTAAAATCAATAATTATTAAACACAGCACATGCCCTTTCTTTCAAGCACCTTATGCATGCTGTGTGTAAATGTTTCTTAAACTTTGATTTAGTTGGTTAAAAAAATGAATTATTAATTTTCTCCTTCCAGATTTTGTTTTGAAGTAAAATCATGCCACAAATAGTTAAGCATTAACTGAAATGTAAGCTTAAGAGATTTCAAACCTATAATTAGCAGTGGCATTTAACATGTCATCATTTTTTTATATGATTCATGGGAGAAAGTCTCGATAAAAGTATAACTGACAAAAGCTAGAGAGGTTAAAAAGCAGTCGAGTGTGATTTTATGAACTGTTAACAAGAATTTAATTTTGCTCTGAAAGTTAATTTTTAACTTTATGAAGAACATATTTTTTTTTTATTAATCTTTCTAAAATTCACATTCTGTAGAACTGTAAGTTATATTATAATGAGTTTGAAATGAAAATAATTTTATTCCAATGAAATACTTTGATCACGAATTTATTGAATAGATTCTAAATACATATATTACTAATTTCTTTTTCAAGTTTTTAAAAAAATATTTCAACCTTTACAGCTAAGTAATTCAATTAGTTACATAATGCGAAATATATAAGCAATTGCCCATATTTGTAGAAGAAATACAATTTGAATATAATACACAAACATATCAGGTATCACACATTTTCAATGCCGGCTTAAATTTCAATAAATGAACAGCACCAGAAGTTGCACCAAACATCAAAAAATCTGAGTCACTAGAAACATCACAGAACACAGATTGTGCCAAACAGCTAATAGGAACGGATGAGTGAAATTGACATACCTAATAAAGAGAATGAATAACTTTAAAACAGAAAACAAAAAAAATTATGTTGAAAAAAAATTACTGGTCTATTTATAAAATAACATGATCTTATTATTAACTAATGTAGAAATGAAAAAGAGAACATAAATAATGCAAATAGGCATAATTGAATTTAATGCTGCATTTATTTCACCTATTTCTCAAATAAAGCGATTGAAAATTCAATGTCAGAATATTTTACCTCTGAGTATCAAACTAATAGAGATACAAATTAGGAAATAAAAATATGTGATAAGAATATTTTATGATCATGCAGAGTTCAAGTACCTGAGTTTAACATATTTATCAACAGTGTTCAGTCTCCCCTCCCTGATATATGAACTGCAAAAATGTAGAAAATGCTTCCAGACGGCAATGCTGTGTAAAAAAAGGAAAAAACCCACAGGGTGTTCTTGCTTTGGAGAAGTGGGTGTTTCCGACTTTGTGGCGAAAGTGTTTAAATAATTATAGAGATGTGAAATAAAGCTATAGTCCTAACTTATAAGTGTTTTCCAGTTATTGAGAACTTGTGATTTATAATATGAACATTTATGGGCCGACGGGCCCGAATTAGAAACAAATCAGCGACATCTAAATAGTGAGTTCGTGAAAACAAAAGTGTGCTCTTCTTCCAAAGCGATTGTATTTTGTAGCTTGTGTTGATAATAATGGAAGAAAAAATTCATTCATTAAAGCGTCAAAAAGCTACCCTAAAGGATAAAATCACCCGTTTAGAAGCCTTTGTAGAATCGGTGGTTGAACCAATAAGTGAAGATATTATAACCAAATTAGAAGTAAAATTAGAAACTGTGTGCACCGTCAAAAGATGCATAGCTGAATTACAAAAGGATTACTTCAAATTGCCTATAAAAGTGGATATTAGTGAAGCAGAATCGAATTTAGAAGAGATGGAGATTCGTCTGGAACAAATAGAAGTAAGATTAAAAACATTCTTACATAAATTAAATGTGAAACTTTCTTACGTAAATTAAATGTGAAAATTTCTGTGAAAAGTACTGAGAACGAACAGGGTAAAATAAGTGTTGATAATTGTTCTAAAATGCCCAGATTAAGCTTCCAAAATTGAGCTTACTTCATTTACTGGTAATGTTTATGAATGGATAACTTTTAATGATCTATTTAAGGCTGCTGTGCTTAACAACAATAATTTATCAAAAGGACAAAAACTTCAATATTTATTATCAGCCCTTAAAGGTGATGCACGGTCGTAAAGTCAATCCTAGTTTCGGATCAAAATTATGAAGTTGCTTGGTCACTGTTAGAAGAAAGATTTTCAAATGATCGAGAACAGGTTTTCGCCCACATTAAGCAATTTATGTCAATTCCACCTATTCACAGTGAATCTGCTAGTACTTTACTAAATTTAGTTGACATTACCTTTGAAAATACTAGAGCGTTAGAAATTTTAGAACAAAAAATTGATGGGTTTGTTGATAAAATGTTTGGATATGTTTTGTTACAAAAATTAGATGCTTCAACAAAATTATGGTTTGAACGCGAATTTGGTAAGAAAAATAATGTTCCCAAATTGAGTGACTTAACTGAATTTCTAAAAAAACCATGCAAGAACTTTAGAAGCGTCTACAGTTTCTAAGAACACTAACCAAAAGCATTGTTCTAAAGGAACTGCATTGTTAAGTACTGTGAAGTCATCTAAGTGTAGTTTCCGTTTGGATAATCATATTATATATAAATGTCCTAAATTTCAAGATATATCAGTGAATGATAGGGTTGAATTTCTAAAAAAGCAAAGACTGTGTTTTAGCTGCTTTTTAAACCATAGTGTAAAACAGTGTTCTTCAAAATTTTCATGTGCTAAGTGCAGTAAAATACATAACACCCTGATTCACTTTGAGAAAAGAAATAATAATTCATCCCATAGTGTACATTCTGAAAAAGCATCTTTCTACTGAATAATGCTACTGAAATAACATTTCAAGCAAATTAAATCCAAACTCGATTAGTTTCGAAACCAAAAATGCAACTCCATCCATAAATCAGTCATTTGTCGGAACGAGTTATGAACATAAATCCTTCTCGGCGCCAGGGCAACGGTTTCCTTTCCAAGGTCGGAAATCTTGCACGTTTTTGTCTACTGCTGTGATTAAGGTTCGAATGGGAAATGAAGAATTAATAAACATTTTAGCAATTTTTGACATAGGCAGTCAAGACAGCCTAATTCGAAAGGAAATCACGGATATGTTACAAATAAAAACACAAGCAATAAATGCTCCTATAACTGGCCTGAATAATTCAATTCTAACTGTTAACCCTCTGGCTGCTCATCCCGCGATTTCCACGCGCAGCTCAAATATAGCAAAATCTGCTCATCCCGCGATTTTCGCGGGCATGTGTTTTTCTTCCTTTAATGAGGAGTGCATCCCGTTTTTTCCCCTTTTAACCAATGAAATAAATTATATGCAGTATTAGACGTTTAGTTTACGCTTTGGCCAACAGATATCGTTAATTGTCCACTAAATTGCGGCATTTGAAGGCATGTGGTATTATCGCTCACACTCCACTTTTTGCCGCTTTTTTCTTACAGAAATGGCTGCTAAAAACGTTCGGCAATTATCTTGATTATTTAATTAAGTTATTGAATTATTAATTAAATTTATTGATTGGATTAATAATTAGATTGATTATTAATTAGATTTACTGGATCTGGTGCAAAGTTTGTGAAGTTGGGCATTGCCTTGAACCCTGTTTTGCCATATTTGTTTGCCTTGACACCCGCGCAATTCATTTGGAAATCATAACAGATCCAACAACTGAAACTTTTATTTCTTGTCTTAAAAGATTTTTTCACAAAGAGGTAAATCTAGAAAACTTTTTACGGATAACGCACAAACATTTGTAGGTGCGACAGCAGAGTTAAAAAGATTGTTTAATATAATGAATTCTCCTGATGAACTTCTTGCAGGATATTTATCTTCCGAATGTGTTGACTAGAAGTTCATCCCTCCCAAGGCTCCCAATTTTGGCGGTCTTCGGGAGGCTGGCGTAAAGTCATTCAAATACCATTTGGAACATGTCATGGGAATACTAATTTAACTATAGAGGAGTTTTTAACAATTGTGATACAAATCAAAGGGTTTTTGAATTCACGCCCTCTTTCTCCTATGATCCTAACGATTATAGAGTTTTGTCCCCTGGACACTTTTTGATTGGCAGAGAAATCACCTCTATACCTGAACCTAATTTAACAGGTATCTATGAAAACAGACTTTCCAAGTGGCAAAAAATAACTAATTATGTTAAAAAAATCTGGCAGTTGTAGCAAAAAGATTATCTCAGTAATTTACATCAAAGATCAAAGTGGCAGTTTGATAAAAATAATGTTTAAAGTTGGAACTGCTATACTTATAAAAGATGAGTGTCTTCCACCAACCAAATGATTAGTTGCTAGAATTGCTGATATATTTCCAGGCAAGGACGGTAAGGTAAGAGTTGTCAGTTTGCGGTTACTAGATGGAAAATTTCTGAAAAGAAGTAGTCGTCACATATGTATCTTGCCAAATCAATAGTTAGACTATATGGTATTATTGCAATTGTGTATTTATTATGTTACAATTATTTTCATTTAAGTTGTTAAACAGTATCAATGTAATATGTGTTTTATTATTATATATTATTGTTATTCAATGTTTGCAAAATTTGTTTTGATATTCTTACATTGACATTTGCAATTTCAATGGGCGGGAGAATGTTCAGTCTCAGCTCCCTGATATATGAACTGTAATAATGTAGAAAATGCCTCCAGAGGGCAGTGCTGTGTAAAAAAAGGGAAAATCCCAGAGGGTGTTCTCGCATTGGAGAAGTGAGTGTTCCTGCCTTTCTGGCAAAAGTGTTGAAATAATTATAGAGATGTGAAATAAAGCTACAGTCCTAACTTATAAGTGTTTTCGAGTTATTGAGAACTTGTGATTTAAAATATGAACTTTCAAACAGTAGATCAGATTCTTCGAAATTCTACTAATATAAAAAGTGGTGAGCTAAAAATGCAAAATAATCACTTGTTCCAAAGTTTCAGAGTTCCATCCTTTAACAGTTCGATCCAAAGAGCTAGTAAATATATTAGATCCAAGCACACATATTCCAGTTATTGAATCAGAATGAATCTATAAATAAAGAAATGTATATAAAACTACATAAATATTCTTATATTGCAAATAAAATGTACACTCAACTGAAGTACAAGAATGTTTATAAAAGGTTAGACAATACTGGCATAAGTCATCAGAATTAACACAAGAGTAATACTAAAAGTTTTTAATCTGAGAAAATAAAATAAAGCAGTATGATGTCATGCCTCTATGCTGTAAGCATGAGTACATGGCCATATGGTAAAGCAGAAAAAACTGGCTATGGGTTTGTGTAAGGTGAATATTAGGGATTTGTCAGCATAAAAATGGATTAACATGATAAGCACTTCCATCAATGATTTTGTATGGTTTCCGGATAGGTTTTTTGCCACAGAAAAGCTACATATAAATTCACTTATATTTCAAACAAGAGCCCTATGCTACTGTTTCTAACTGATTTTGTGAATTCTGTCATGGATGACAAAAGCTAGGTAATGAACAATACAATGGTTGACATATGACTACAGTAAAGCCTCATTTCCACTACTGCATATGAACGCATTGCGTCAATTGAAGACACGTCTACAGCATCCGTACAAGCGTTTCCACTGCCGCGTATCTGTAGAATATTTTCATTTCCTGCCGATAGGTGTCACTGTAATATTTTGGCACCAAACAAGCAGTTCGCGAGTTACGACGCTGAACATCTGAATTTTTCCCGCTTAAGCGAGTATTGTTTGTTTTGGATTTGATATGGATCCTGACGTAAAACGCAGAAAAGTTTTGTCTACTAAATTAGATGTTATTGGAAATTTTTATTTCTGCTTATGAACTGCGAAATTAAAGTAGGGACTAGCAATTTTTTAGATAAGTAAGGTTATAATGCATATTATGAACATCACTAATTCCATAGAAGCTGAAGTAAATTTAAAAGAAATTTTTGCTTTTCTAGAAGCCTTACATATTAATGAAATAATATATATATTATTAAAACTAAAATGTACTGTTAGTAAAAAAATAAACAAATAAAAAAAAGTTAAAGGAATTAAAAAATAGTTGGTACTTTAAAAATGCAGAGCAACTGTAAAGAAAGGTTCACTATATTTACACAAAATTTGCTATGCTTTTATACCGCTAACTTCAGAGTCACAGCTGGATAATTTATTAGAAATCTCATTTGTTTTAAAATGCACTATGGGCAGTTATATTTTATGCATAATCCATAAAATATTATTTTTAATTTAAACATTTTTAATTCATATCTCTTTTTATAGAAGAAGTTATAAAAATAAGATTTTTCTCTTTATATATACATACATTAGGTAAAGAAAACGGAAATGTTTAATTAATTAATTCCTGTGCTTCTGCTGGAGAGGACTGAATTTAAAACAATTATTATATAATTTTTTGTTAAAAGAAATGTTTAGGGCATTAATACTGTCTCATGTTAATTGGTAATGAAAGTTTAGAGTCATAAACATCCCAAAATCTGAGCACATTCACATAAAAGTGAAACGAAAATGTATATACAGTCAAAAGTCGTTAATCCGGACTTGTCGGGACTTCGGCGATTCCAGATTATAGACCATCAGTTTAAATCTCGTAAGATGGCATGCAGAAATTATAAAATTAAAAATATGAAACCATAATTTATGAAATAAAGAACAATTATGATCTAAAGGGTATCAAAATTTATAAAAAGAAAAAGGCTTAATATTTATTTGTTTACTTTATTAAACATTTCTTTCAATGTTTAAGTTGCTTCGTTTCATGTGATAATACTTTCTATTTAATTCTATTAAACAGACATAAGTTATATTAAACAGACATAAGCCTTGTATAGTTACAAAGTTCCGCTGTTCAAGTCCTATAATTGCTGTGTCGAGAATACCGACTAATTTGTCAATCGAAATTTTTTCATTTTCAATAACCTCTGTGTCACTATCTTCACTATCGGAAGCAAATTATAATGACGATGAACTTGATTTAAATCATATCAAAGACGGAATACATCGAGATGAAATACTACATTTAGTAAGGAATTATAAGCCAAATAAAATAAAAACATATGCCCTGAAGATAAGGATAGTGCTGACAGATCAACTTCCAATTCATTGCTCGGCGTGTCGTTCCCCCCCCCACGCCGCAGAGCTGCGTGAAATTGATAAACAGATTTCGGAATGGTTAGAGAAACGAAGGATATGCCTTTTTCCATTTTTTGCAGCAATTCCACTTTATGTTTAATGGACTTCGAAACATACTTTCACTTTGTAGATCCTTTACATATTAGTAAATATACATTGGAAATTCTATTTGACATAATCGAAAGTTCAAGCTTACTTTTATAAAATTGCTCTAACAGTCTGCAAAAAATAATAAGCCGGATCCAATTCAAAGATTAAGGAACAACGCAATCTTCAACATTAACTGAATTAGATAATTTTAGCTTAGCTTACACCGTCAGTTATACATTAAATGCGCAAGCGTAAACGTATTATGCGCATACGCATATTCACAGCCGTAAAGGTCTTACGCGCATGTGTCAACGCGACACATTCGCAGAAAGTTTATAGCTTTGAGGTCCAGATTATAGATCATTCTGGATTATGGGTGTCTGAATTAACGACTTTTGACTGTATATATATATATATCTACAGGGTTTCAAAATAAATTAAATTTAAATAATTCTCTTGCACGCCATTGCTGCAAGGAATGAAATTTGAATTTAACAAATATTTTCTATTCGTAAGAGCAATTTAAATGAAATTTAATGCAAACTAATAAATTCTGAGAGCATATGTAAATCAAGTGCAAGTATCAAAATCCATGAATAAATATATAATTCCAAAAATTTATTTATCCTATTATTCAGTTATGCATTTTTATAAATTTTTCAGGATTAATAATCTATCCTATTATTCATTTATGCATTTTTATATTTTTTTAGGATTAATAATCTATCCTATTATTCACTTATGAATTTTTAAAAATTTTTTAAGATTAATAAATTTTTGGAATTATATATTTATTCATAGATTTTGATACTTGCACTTGATTTACATGTGCTCTGAGAATTTAAATTATCTTGTAGATTAGTTTGCAGCAATAAATTATCATTTATTTATTTGCATTAAATTTCATTTAAATTTAATTAACTTTAAATTTGCTTTTTACGAATAGAGAATGTTTGTTAAAATTCAAATATATATGTATGTACAGGGTATGCTTTAAATTAGTATTATATAATTTTCACAACTTATTTTGCGGGGGGGGGGGGGAATTTAAATAAATAAGAGCATAAATAAAACAATATATTTAACGCATATAATAATAGAAATAAATTATAAAACACGAATATAGATCAAATTGGAACAAAAAGCTGAAAAAGTTGCAGACAGGGTGCAAAAAGCGTATGGGATTCGAACTCACGACCCCCAAAAGTAAACATCGTTACCGTCAGTTTTACCACTAAGCTAGCATCACACGTGGGAGTCGCATACATATTTTGGCTTATATACATCATCAAGTAAATCAATTCTTAAAACTAAATTTTTGGTCCTATTTCAGTGTGCTATCGTCTGAAAAATTCACCAGAGTTTGTTCTTCAGCTTCTAGTACATTTTTTACAAAAAACATTATCTTTTAAAGTGGCGTTCCGATTGAAGTTAATCGGGCTGCTAAAAATATATTTCATGTGCTTACAAATATATGTTAGCCAAAAAGATATATTTATAAAGGAGAAATACAAATTTAACATACTCTTTAATGTAGTGGAATATTTAAAAGGCTATCAAATTTAATTTATAATTAACGTTTTTAGTTTTTACCTGTTTCAAAAGAAAAAAATAAGAAATCTTTTAATCATATCTGATTTGCTATAGCAGTTTGATATAGTCAGACATTCATTTTTCATTAAAGGTAAATGTGTATGCAGAACTAGGAAATAATTGTCAGGACAAATTTTGCTATTTCATGGACTTGGAATTATAATTTTTGTCGCCTGATTTTCTTGAACTGAATTTCTTGAACGCCTGATTTTATCTGCGAACAAGTACTGTAGTTGCAGTTATCTTATTTTTCTTATCTTTTTTTAACTAAATTCAGCTGATTGCTGTCTTTTTCAGCACGCAGATTTCTCGCTATAATGTTAATTCGGAAATAAGTATTTTTTAGCAAAACATTCTTTCCCTAAGCGAGCGTTCATCGCTATACTTCTGCTGCCATTAAATTTTTGTGGCTACACCTGATTGCTCCTTTTTTACCACGTGACCCCAACGCATCCGCAGACATACGGATAGAAGTTGAACATTGTTGAACTCTATCCGTACGTCATCCGTCACCACACATTGACAGGATTGCAGATGTCAATCAAAGTGAATTCGCTCACTGAGTGGAGAAACGCATACGCACCGCAACACATACGCAGCAGTGGAAACGCGGCTTAACACAAGAAAATGCGAACAGAATGTGTCAAATATTGAAGACAAATGAGCAATGTATGAGAAAATTCAGTGCATTGGTATGATTCAAGCTCAAACAATCTTCCATGATTACCAGGCTATTCCAAAACTTGGCTGTATATGGATCCCTTACAAACTGACAAGGGAGCAAAAATGGCAAGCATCAATTGGTAAATAGAAATGCCTGCAGTATTTCATCAAGGGCAATTCAGTGCAGTAGATGATGCTGGAACAGGTAATGAAAATTTAATGTTTTGTTACAAGCCCAAACCAACCTACACTTGATGCAATGTATAAAATGGGAGCAAAAAATACATACACCCCACAATGTGAAAAAGTGGGTGAATTGTATGCTGTTGCATTACAGCTAAAAGGAGAAATTTTCATCGTTTACATATTTAGCATAATTTATTATTTTTTAATATGCTAGGGATCTTTTTTCTGCATTAAGATTTATATTAAAGTATATGTTTAATTTATATTAATCCTATTTCTGAGCATCTTTCAAAGTTTCATACAACACAGTATTCTATCTGTTAGGCTGAGAAATGGTAAAAATTTTGAAGCATGGCTGAAAATGAAACTGAGATGCTAGTAAAGGACATAATTCAAAAGATACTTTTGAAATTTCAGTGGGAGAAAATATTAAAAGGATATTAAAGGAAGAATTTTTGTTTTTGATCTTGGTTAAAGTTGTATGATAGTAGCAGAATAAATGCTTAGGCCAAGGATTAATTTAGCAATTTCATTGTGCTATTGATAACTATTTTAAAACACAAAATTGAATCGCTCTTATACTAGAACAAGTTCAAAACTTTCCACACATGAGCAATCTAGAACAGATCTTTATTTGAATAAAGGAATGGAAATACTTATAAAGCTTTATAAAGGTGTGGCAATAAAAGCAATGAAATTTTAATCTGGTAAATTAAAAAATATCTTTGAAAACAAAGCTGCCACTTAGACATTTTGATAACTTTGCTGATATTATAAATATGTAAAATTACATGAAATTGCTAAATCTAAATAAGAAAGGAAAAATTCAGCAAAGTTGCCTGGGAATATTTCCTGTAGCTCTGAATGATATAAACTGCAATACAAAAATCTGTGTGAATATCATAGAAACACAAAGGAAATTTCACAGTTTGTTTCAATCAAAAAACATAGTCGGTAGTACACAACAGTACAAGGACTTTTTCCTAAAAAGAATAGAATGCACATTGAAGAACCTGAAATCAGGTATGAGCATTGTGAAATTAAAATATACCCAAGCAAAAATTCAAAAGGTCTGGTTCTGAATAATAAATTTGAGTTTGTGAGCTTTCTATGTGAATAGAAAATTTCTTTTGCAAGTCTAATTTTAATATTTGTCGTAATAGAGGATGTTGATCTTAAAGCAATTATTAAATACACTTAGTACCACTTCATACAACAGAATACAGTCAAAAGTTGTAAATTCGGACACCCATAACTGGAATGATCTATAATGCGGACCTCAAAGCTACAAACTTTCTGCACATGCGTCGCAATGACGCATAAGCATTTACGCGTGCGCATAAGACGTTTACGGCTGCGAATATGCGTGTGCGAATGTGCATAATACGTTTACGCATGCACGTTTAATGTATAACAGACGGTACAAGCTAAGCTAAAATGATCTAATTCAGTTAATGTTGCATATTTTGTTGTTCCTTAATCTTCAAATTGGATCCGGCTTATTATTTTTTGCAGACTGTTAGAGCAATTTTATAAAAGTAAGCTTGAACTTTCGATTATGTCAAATAGAATTTCCGATATATATTTACTAATATGTAAAGGATCTACAAAGTGAAAGTATGTTTCGAAGTCCATTAAACAGAAAGTGGAATTGCTGCAAAAAATGGATAAAGGCATATCCTTTGTTTATCTAACCATTCCGAAATCTGTTTATCAATTTCACACTGCTCTGCGTGTTGGGGGGGGGACGTCGTGCCGCGCAATGAACTGGAAGTTGATCTGTCAGCACTATCCTTATCTTCAGGGCAGATGTTTTTATTTTATTTGGCTTATAATTCCTTACTAAATGTAGTATTTCATCTCGATGTACTCAGTCTTTGATATGATTTAAATCAAGTTCATCATCATTATAATTTGCTTCCAATAGTGAAGAAAGTGACACAGAGGTTATTGAAAATGAAAATATTTCGATTGACAAATTAGTCGGTATTCTCGACACAGCAATTATAGGACTTGAACAGCGGAACTTTGTAACTATACAAGACTTATGTCTGTTTAATATAACTTATGTCTGTTTAATAGAATTAAAGAGAAAGTATTATCACATGAAACGAAGCAACTTAAACATTGAAAGAAATGTTTAATAAAGTAAACAAATAAATATTAAGCTTTTTCTTTTTATAAATTTTGATACCCTTTAGATCATAATTGTTCTTTATTTCATAAATTATGGTTTCATATTTTTAATTTTATAATTTCTGCATGCCATCTTACCAGATTTAAACTGATGATATATAATCCGCAAAAATCGATAATCCGGAATCGCCAAAGTCCCGACGAGTCCGGATTAATGACTTTTGACTGTATTTGAATTCATTGTTCTTTACCCTTGTAACAGAAAATGAATCTAGACATGAATTAATACCATGTATAAACAAAAGCAATATTCAAAACATTATGACAGAAATGTTTACTTTTTTTACTGATTCTGCCAATATCAGAGTCAATTGTACCAGTAGAACAAATTTTTTCAACATTAAAATAAACCAACAAAAAATACTGTAATTGGCTTATTAATTACATCACGACAGTACTATGATTTGGTTTTCATTGACCAAGCTAAACTGAGTTTTGAGTATGATATAAATCGCTCAAGTAATTTAAAAGTCTTATAAAAATTTCAACTTCAGCCCTCAAATCTTGGGGAATTTTAGACTTTCATTAGACACATTTAATTACTTTATATGGTATGCAATATTCAACGCATATAATACAGCGAACTCTGAAATACATTGTAACACTAACTCCCACATATTAATATAATTTCTTAAGAATTTGGTGCTAAGCATCATACTCTTTGTGGAATTCAGGATAAGACCCTGACCACAATTATGACTCCCTACAAGAAAAGTAATCACCCACTACGTTGCCCTTATCTAAAACAAGTGCTCACAGAAATAAGCTAATGTGAATAAATGCCTACTTGATAAAAGCCCATAAAATATATACTTTTGAAAAAAAATTACAGAATTAATTGGGATTACTTTGGGATTATTTTAAATAGTGTTTATGTGAGTGCCATAAATAATGCTATTTAAATAGTGACATATACACAAGAGTAGTAGCAATTTAGCTAATTGTGAACTAATGTCTCTAGCATAGTTAAGTGTCATTTACATAAAGAATGATACATATGGCATTTAGATAACTTATTAAATAAATATAACAAAATTGCTGACTTTAATTTTTCAGGCACTTAACATATTTAATAACATGCCTTAACAAAGCATTCTAACCAACACAATTCTGATTGATATGTACATAAATGTGATTACGGAAGGAATTGTAATAGATAAAAAAGTGGGATAAACCTGAATTTGGTCTGCTATCATTAAATGAGATTAATATCATAATGTAAAGAATTAATCCTACAATTAAATGAGATAAGATAACAGTGGAAAGAAGGGATTATGTTCAATCACTTACAGATTGAATATGACCCCTTCTTTCCATCTTCCTCATTTAATGATAGCAGCTCATTTAATGATAGTAGCTTGGTTGCCAAGATATGAGTTTAGTAATATTTTGCCACGTGCAAGTGATGAAACCATTCTGGTTTCCTCATCAGGCTCTTAGCTATAAAATTTTATGTGAATTATAAAATATTATATATCTTTCTTTTTGGAGCAGAAAAAATTGAAAACTACAATTGTAATTTTTTCTCAAGACAGTTTTAGTTAGCTAACGCTTTAATTATACATATTTTGATGTCAGAAATTGTAGTCTTCCCAAAATAAAATATATTGCCATGCTACTTATCAGCTATGCATTCTGGAAAATTTTTCATTGCACAAGACATCTTTCATATACATGGCAGATAACAACTTTCAAAATGCAGACATTAGATATAACATAAAGCCTTTAATTTTTCTTTGGAATTACAACAATAATTGCCTAGTACATTTAGTTAAAAACAATAGTAGTAAGTTTAGTTAAAAACTTACTACGACAGGGTGTACTACTATGTCAGTACAATACAAGAAGCAAAATACTAGACCCATCTTAAAAAATACAATCTCTAATATAAAAATAAAAAATTTTGATTTAACAAAGGTTTTTAAATTACTTTATCAACTAAGCTGATGTTGATGCAAAGCTCGATATCTAACATTAATGTATTAAAATTTAATAGTTTTAATGCTTGCTTCTGTATTTCTTTAATCAGATTCTTCGTAATTTTTTCATTTATATGGAAATGGCTTTATGAAATATTTGAATAAAAAGTATACTTTGTCATCTTCAATGAATTGTTGTTTGAAGATATACTTTTCTTTCATCCTTCAAACTATATCTTCATTAATCTACACGACTTACATTTGATTTTAATGACATATTTCTTTTAATTTACTTTATTATTTTTCTTTTTTAATTATTTCGTTTACTATCATTTATATACAGCTTAATATTTAATTTAATTTAATCTAATAATTACTTATTGTTTTGTTCCTAATCATTTAATTTATTTTTATGGTTTCTGGCTCTCATGACTTTAGAAATAAAGGCATGCAAATAAATGTTTCCCTATGCCCCAATAAAATTCTATAAATCCCATGTAAATGAAAAAAGTACTACTGTAATATGTCTTTGAGGCAAAATTAAAAATAAAACTGTAGGTGATGAATAAAACTTAAACAACACAAAAAACAAAAACAATAAATAAATAAATAAATAAAATATGGTTCTCAGCCTACAAGTTGGTTTCAATTTATTTCCATAATAGCCATGAATAAATTATAACTAATCTTCAAACAAGCCATTAAACGTTACACAGACTGTAACTAGCCTTATACTTTGGAACATTATTTTTTATGCTGTTCTTTCTAAGGTATTATTGCTATGCTTATTTCTTTCAAAGACATGGTAGAAAAGTGCATTAATTAAGGGCATACTTTTGTTTTAAACATAAATATAAAACTGGTTTTTGTTACATGCAAATTTAATTACTAATGTTTACTAACCTTCTTCACATAAGGTGAAGAATCCTCAGAATAAATGTGTAACCATCCTAAAGTATCTCCACAGTAAATTTTGCCATTTGTATCACAAAATAAGCAACTTGGATATGGAGCACAACCATTTTTTGCAGGCTGGTAAATTTTCACAGGATCCACTGATGCTGACTTCTGAAAACAATAAAGCTTTTTTATATTTGCCAAAAAATTAACTTCAGTTGCAAAAGTTCAAATATAGAAAAATCTTAAAGTTCACAACTCTGAAAATTGTAAGAAAAATGAAAGATTAGATTTCCTTTTTTATATACATTTATGACAGATTAGTTAGCATCATTTGCAGTAAAACTAACCTCTTCTTCAAAAGATCACATAAAATAGTAGACTTTAAATATTTATGATCATTTCACTTTTTAGCTGTTTTCTCAAATGCTAAAACATAGTATGTCTATAAAAGCCTTTATGTGGCCTATATTTTACAACCATTAATCACAGAACAGAACAGAGCATTGTCAGAATAAGTCCTTGCCCTGACGTTAATTGTACAATGATGGTTGCCAACCCAGCGGATATATTATATATCTGGTAGAAGTTAACATTAGAACATTACATGAGCATTAGTAATTCAGACAGTACACACATAAATGTTATATACAAAGTTAGACTATTTAGACATGAATAATGTATGATGTAGTCTAAGTATGCACAAAGAAAATGCTTTTACAATATTTTGGTGTGCATTGTAGGAGCAAACAATATGCATGATATATAGTTATGTACAATATTGATGGATTAGTGTATCTCCTGAGATGAAAGTAAAACTATGGTTTGAGGGGGTGGAATCAGTTATCAATTTAAAATATATAACAATTTTATGACCAGCACAAGGACTAGACTTTTGTGTTTTATGCCCATGCTACCCAGTTCAAAGCAGTGAGTTTACACACCACCAAACACACAGTGGTCAGGAGTCACCTTCTCTCTACACTGGCACTGATCTGATGTTTTCATCCTGAATCCTTTCAGGTAGCTGAGAAAGGGCCCACGACCCATTAGGAACTGTGTTAATGATAGGCTGTTGCTAAATAGCTTTATTGTGACTTTTGGACTGAATTGAAAGACATGTCTGCCTAATGACCACTGTTCCTGCCATATATTCATAAGTGCACATTTGTAATGTGTTTGAGATAAGACAATGCAAGTAGAGCTGGCATTTCTGGCATAGTTACAACAAGCTCGTCAGTAATTTTAGTTCCCTGTGTGGGCAAAAACCCAATACAGATGAAGCCTTTTGTTCAGGATCATAACAAGGCTTGTCTGGCACTATATAAGAGAGAGCTTCTGCTACGTGTACCTGCAATTGCCTCAAAGCTTGAGACCAAGTCACTGTAAATGTTTACATGGCCTCGACGATCTTTGGCACTGCTTAATGCTACTTCAAGCAATAGCTCTGTTTGACAGACTGCATTGTGTGACTGTCCAATCTACACTTCCAGTTAAATCTGATAGAATTCTTATCAATACAGCAGAAACCACTCCCAGTACCATTGTTTACCATTAGTCACAGATAATTACATCCAGTTACAAAAATGTTTTAAACAAAGCAAATAAATATTCATGTTCTAGCATTTTTAAAATTAAGAAAAGTTCGATGTGGCCAGCACATAATTTCCAGCCAGTTTCATGTTACTATCACTTCTGGTTAATTATTTGTAAATAAAATCTAATTTGTTTATAAAATGTATAGCTAAATGTTAATTATAACACTACTCTTTTTTAAGATTCCATTCTCTCCCACAAAGGACAATGATAACTATATACATGCTCATGTATACATTTAATCTCATGCTTTGATTTGAACATATTGCATTGACCATAGTATATCCTCTGGTCACACAGGGTTTCAGGTTCACAAATCAATGACTTAAAAAAATCACAAAATTTGTTTAAGTCTTTAAAACTCCTGATTGTTGCCATATATTTCTTTTTATATTTGTTATATTATTTCGTAAAAAAAAAGTACACAGTGATAACATTTGGTAGCAGCATCTTTTTATTTGAAAAATGATTCAATGCAAAAGTGAAACAGAAACAAAATTAAGAACCATGGTTAATACACTTAATTGTTTCATAAGGAGAGATCATCTTCATGATATGCTTATTCTCATTGCATTTAGCATAATTCCAATACTTTTAATGGCTTTACATCTAATATGCTGTTTGCAATCGCATACCTATTTTAAATACTAAATTTGAGAAATTTCAGATTACCTCATAACATAATTTTTTACGAAAGTCAGTTCAGAGCTTCAAATAAAGTATCACTTTTGGTTTATCATTTTAAGCCAAAATCTAATATATTATTCATGATGATGTAAAAGTCTTAAATACCGATGTTAAAAAGTTTTGGATTATATTTTAATATATCAATTTTCACTAAAAATTCATTCATTCTTCAAGCAAAGTACCACTTCCTCTAGTCCAGTTTTACCCACAGCTTAATCAATTCTTTATATGAATGTAGAAAGCTTAAGTACAGAAAACAAAAACTTCTGGCAGTTTCATATAAAAGTTACTATGGACGAACAAATCATCACACAGACAGACAGACATCATTGCAAAAATAGTAAAAACATGTTGTAGGGAACCTAATTCCAGCTTATTCACTGAAAACTCACTATTGAATTTTAGGACCCAAAATATTACTTCTGTTACCTATGTATGTAGACTGCGGAGAAGTAAAAGTTAGTTTTGAAAAACTTATGAAGTTATTTTTATATGGGTCTCCAAACCCTATAGTTATATTAAGTGGACATTTACAGAGCTGGTCTAAGACCCCTAGAGCCCCTTAGCACTTTAAGGATTTTAGTGCCTTCACATACATTTACAATTTTTTCCCCTATTTCTTCTCTCTCTGGCTCGGTTTAGTTGCACCATATATTCTACGGTGAAGCTTGTAATGGGAGCTTTTTGTGGTGTCTCCTTTTCTTGGCCCCTAAGCACTTTTTTGTGGTATCCCCTCTCCTAAATGCCCTTAGCATGTGCTTATTTTGCTCAAAGGTTAATCCAGCTTCAGACATTTATAATAATTCTAAAAAATAAAATATATACAGTTTAACTCTCACATGACAAAAACTGATCAAGATCTTTAATTTTAAATTTTGAGACCATGTCTCCTGCAAATTTAGAAATCATACTCAAATTGAAAGTGGAATATTTCAACTTAAATTGAAATACCTGTTTAGGAAAAGGATTCTGATATCAACAGATTTTTTTAAAAAACGTAATAATGAAGGCTCCTTTGAAAAGTTTTTACCAAACATTTTATTTTAAAAAAACACCCATTCACAAAATTTTACAGAATTTATGTTCTGATGACAGGTTTTCAACATTGGCATACAGCCAGCTCATAACATATTTGCATAAATTAAAAAAAAAATTAATATTTCTGTCCAATAATTTTTTTCTGTGACTATTAGTTTACAATCCTACAACAATAAAACTACGTATGTATCCTACAGCTATGAATTGCATGCAATAAATTTTTGCCACTTGAAAACTCAGAAATTACTTGTATGAAAGTGCTTTTGGTGTACTAAATGTAACAAAATTATAGATTAAACAATGCTACACAATGGTAAATTACAAAGGAATATAAGTGAATGACTTGGAGAAAAAAATCAAACTCGGACTAATCCAATTTACACTCATGTCCATAAATTAAGGATAATTCGGAGTCACGCGGAAATCAAACTCTAAAATAAATATATCACCTGTAAAATCACTATGCACATCTTCAAGAATCGTATGCAAATTTCAGGAAGTAACCACATGACACCGATGGTACGTCACAATGACGAGAGTGTAAGAGAGTGATATATAAGGAATACAGGCAAAGAAGTGAAATTGTTCGCAGGCGCTTTATAAGCATTTCAGTACAATAACCGAATAGTTATGACACAAAGGACGCATTTGGATGATTTTTTACGTGGTAGAATTATCGGCCGTCTGGAATGTGGGCGTGCGTACCCAACTGGAAGTATCAGACGAACTTGGAATTGCTCAGAGTGTCATCTCCAGGCTTTGGCAACAATTCCAAGATGATGGTAATGTGAGTAGACGTTACAGAACAGGTCGACCCAGAGTTACAACGCCGAATGAGGACCGGTATTTGGCAGTTACTGCCAAAAGAAACAGACGGAGCACAGCTTCAGACCTGTCTTGTCAGCTCTCTTCAACCACTGGTACGACAATTTCAAGGCAGACCGTGTACAGACACTTAGGGCAGATTGGTCTATATGCTCGTAGACCTGTCAGATGCGTTCCACTTACTACAACTCACTGTCGCCTGCGGTTAGCCTGATGTATAGAGCATGCATTGTGGATACCGCAACAGTGGGCTTGTGTGATGTTTTCCGATGAGTCCAGGTTTAGCTTGCAGTCTGATTCTTGCCGGACTTTCATATGGAGAGCTCCAGGTACCCGTTACCACCGAGAAAACATCATTGAACGACACCGTTACGGTGGTGCAGGAGTGCTCGTTTGGGATGGAATTATTCTGGGTTCCAGAACTGACCTACATGTTCAAATTGGAACCATGACAAGCCAAATCTATCGGGACATCATTCTGGAACAACATGTACGTTTGTTTCGGGGCACCACGGGTGCACAATTTGTGTTTATAGATGACAATGCCCGTCCTAACCGTGCAAACATCGTAAGCAAATGTCTTCAATCAGAGGATATCACCCATATGGACTGGCCAGCATTCTCACCGGACTTCAATCCAGTAGAACACATGTGGGACATGCTTGGCCGACGAGTTGCAGCCCGTCAACCTCCTCCTACATGTCTACCGGAACTTTGGAGAGCATTGCTTTTTGAGTGGTGTAATATCCCCCAAGATCAGATCGATAATTTGATACTCAGCATGCCTAGGCATTGTACGGACTGCATTGCATCGTCTGGGAGACATACTATGTATTAACAATCATACCAACCAAGTAATATTGGTTTTTTGTAATTTTCTCCAGGGAGAAAAAAATCGCTAATGTTTTTAATAATATCAAACATATAGCATCATTTTTTTGTTCTTTACCTTTTTGTTTAATAAATAAGCTTTACAAATAAGTCAAATTTGTTTTGCTTCTAACTCTTCTTTTGCCTGATTTTGC